TTCCTATTCTTTTTAATTGAATTCCCGGAACCCCAATCATTCTTTTAATCTGGCGCCCTCCATTTCTTATTCTGGCGGGCGGGGGGGGGAGTGGGGGAGCGGGTCCCCCCCAAATTATTCAGATCCTCGGATTAACCCCCAAGCCCTGAATCCTCAACCCTAAACCCTAATCCACCCCCAAAGAAATGAATCCCTAAACCCTAAACCCTCCACCCTGAAGCCAAGGCTGCACTGGACCGCCGAGGATTCCAAAACCAAATCCGAAGAGGTCCGCGAAGCCATGTTCCAGGAATCTTGCACGACTTGGTGTTTAAGGGTTTAGGTTTAGGGGTTAGGGTCTACGCCCTAAACCCTAAACCCTAAACCCGGGGGTTCAATGGTTTATGGTTTACGGTTTTGAATGGGCTGTATCAGGGTTCAACTCGTGAGCTTCGAGCGGTTTTGTCCGGGTTGTTCGATTTGATTTTTCCCTATTTATAGGGCTTACATAGGGGATATATTGGTATAATGGAAAAGAAAATGGAAACTACAGGGATTATAGGGTTTTATATAGGGGATATTTGCACGTACCTAGGCTTCAGGGTTTTCAGGGTACAGGGTTAGGGGTATACAGAGTTCACGGTGGAGGAGTCCTCGCGGTGGGTAGACCCCCAAAAGGATGGAGAATTGATTGAAGACGGGCACCAGGGGCTTAGCGGGATATATAGGGATGAAGGGTTGAGGGTCAGTTTTTCTTACGTTAACAGCGCAGACATTGATTTTCAAGAAAACGGAAGCTACTATATATTGTGGTCCCTAAACCGGGTTTATGAATTAAGGAATGGAGGTGTGAAGTTAGGCCTCAAAAGGGGTCTACGAGAGAGAGCCATGCCTCTATTGCCTGAACCTTATGGGTTCCCCTACTGCCCCCCTACACTCAAACAGTTTTAGTCGTTTCTAACCAGGCCTACTAGAAAAGGCAACCTCGGCCGGGTGGTACGGGGCGTATCAGGGCAACCCATGATATGCACGCAGCAAGGAAGTGGTTGCCGGCATCTCCGACCAAGATACACTGTCCCAGGTGGGCGTTTCTCCAACAATCCTCTTTTGATAGCCCGTTTATGGCATCCCCCATGTATCATGTCTCTAGGGTCCCGAAGGGTACCAGAAATACCCTATATCCTATAGAGCCTTGAACCCTTAACCACCCTTGACCCCCTACACCCCAAGTACAGTATGCAGTAGCTGTTTCCATGTTCTTCTCCACAATCCCGTAAAACCTAATTCGTGTCCAGGTTCTAGTCTTCACAACAGCCAGGGACTCGTCCTTCATCTCTGTGGCAACCTTCCTTCTTAAACAAGGCGCGCCGACAGCATTTCACAAATATGGGGGCTATATAGGGGATGTACAGGGCTAATGGAAAAGGAAATGGAACTCACTACTGGTTGTCTTTTTGGTTTTGCTGTACTCCGCTACCTATGTTTTTATTGTCATTTCCGCTTAGCTCATTTCGGGTGTTGGTGAGGTCTTGCTTCGTAACCCTAAACTCTGAACTCTCAACCCTACACTCTAAACCCTGAACCCTGAAACCTAGACCCTGAAACCTAGACCCCAAGCCCTAAACCCTAAACCCAGGCGCACGAGCCCAGGACGCAATAGGCCAGGCCATCAGGCGAAAGAGAGTGCCACTGGGTTGGTCTTTGGGGGGTTTAGGGTTTAGGGTTTAGGGGTTTAGGGTTTAGGGATTTAGGGATTTAGGGTTTAGGGTTTAGGGATTTAGGGTTTAGGGATTTAGGGATTTAGGGCTCAGGGTTTAGGGAGTTTGGCTCAGGGAAAAGGTTTAGGGTTCGGGCTTGAGGTTGTTTCCCCTTAGCCGTTTCAAAGGGACCGTTTCTACTGAGATATCTCAATGTTTGGCCGTTATTGCTTGCCAGACAGAGTCCTACACACTGGGAAAGTTCAATGTTTTCCTTCTTGGCTCGGAAAGCCCTATCTAACCCTAAATCCAAAACCCCTAAACCCCTAAACCCTAAACCCTTAAACTCTGAGCAAGACTTTTTCAAAAGGCTTTACAGGCACACCAACTGGGTTGCTGTTAAGGAACTTAAATTAAGTTACTATTTTGGGGAAACCCCATTATTTACTATATATACCCATTATGGTAACTTAATTTCAGTTCCTTAACAGCAACCCAGCCAAGGCCCCTCGTGAGCCAGCTTTTGAATGTCACCGCCATTACGTTGGAGGCAGAGGCTGCTGGCGAGGAAGGAGGTAAAGGCCTAGAGCTCTTAAGTGACTGGATCAATGTTAGGGATCCTTTATACTTTAGGGTTTAGGGTTTAGGGTGGGGTATGGGATTCCTTACATTTATGAAAAAGGACTGGGTTGCTGTTAAGGAACTGAAATTAAGTTACCATATGGGTATACATAGTAAATAATAGGGTTTCCCCAATATAGTAACTTAATTTAAGTTCCTTAACAGCAACCCAGGTGAAGTGCTGGAGAAGGCAGAATTGGAGGTGAGGGATATGGAGGCGGATCTCTCCGCCAAAGAGATGCTCTTGGTGCTTGGGAAAGTTGTCTACGGCGCGGAGCAATGGGCAACTCTGGATACCAAAATCAAGAACCTACACCCAGTTGGGCAGCCGGCCGAATACAAGAGGTGGGATGTTTCAAAAGAACCTCCATGTAAACCCTAATACATGCAAAATACTAGAGTCCTTATTATGGGACTCACCGAGATGGTACCCCTTGTTTACAGAAATCCCTATAATCACCGCGTTGTTTCCATATAACCCTGGGGTCCATAGGGTACGCCGCATATCGAGAAATTCCCAGGTGGGTCCTCAAAGGCTTCCAAAACCTGGCGGAGAAGAAGAAACTTGGATATTCCTGTTTTCAGTTTTGTTTCTTTTTCCTCTTCTCATGGACCATAATACATATATCATGGATGTATATACAAGCCTCATCAAGGCATACCAGCTAACTTGCATGGGACCCCTTCACCCGAAACCCTAAACCCTATCCCAGGAAAGAGCAGGAAGCCAAAAAGCTGGAGACCAAGAAGATACATGCCCGGCTTGATTCAGATTCTAGGAAGCCCATGGATGATATTGTTTTTTTAGTGTTTTTTGGGGTTTAGCGTTTAGCGTTCAGGGTTTGTGGTTTAGGTGTTTTTTGGGTTCTGGGTTCGTTCCTTGTACACTTGGGTTGCAGGAAAGGGCAGCAATTTGATAATATAGTTACTGGGATACCAAGGATTATGAGGATATGCTGGAGCAGTTCAGCGACGAGGAAGACGATTGGACACCGACTGTTACAGATGCCGTCACGGGAGCTGACACCGCTGGTGCGACCGACACCGTTGGTGCAGCTGCAACCAAGTAGAAATGCACAGAAATCCTTGAAAGGCCCTACACATCCCTATCACCCCCATATAAATAAATAAATATATATATATATGTATACACCCTATAACCCCCATATGTCCCCTACATAACCCCAAATATACCATGCAGTTAATTCATTAGATAACGATCCATCGCTATGTGGTATGGTCATTGGCAGTCAAGATGACTGTCAGTGTGCGACACTAGCATCCTTTTCAGCGCATCCCGCGCGATACAGCGCGGATGTGTGCGGTTGCGCACGGGTACTCGAGCACAACCCATCCGAAGCCAAGCCACTCGCAAGAGTGGATAGATCTGTTGAGCCAACGCAGCAACAGAAACCGCGTGCTTTCCCATTCCCCTTAGTAAGGTAGTAGGTGCGTCTCGGACTTTTGGGGCTCCTAAGAATCTCATCATAACAAATGAGCGTAGACTTTATTTTGCCACTGTTGCTGCCAAAAGTCCTGCATGACCTTGATATACAATGGTACCATAGTTCCCAAGGTATAAGGTACCTAGGGTCATGCAGGATTTTTATCATCCACCGCAGGGAACTCAATGAAATTTTGCACTCCTTGGGCGTGCTGGGTCGTTCGATGAGCAAGACTCCCGATAGAATACTGTCAGTTTATCTGAGCTATAGCCTAAACTCCTAGCATCCCACTTCGTAACCCCAAAATCATGCCCTATATGATCTCCCATCTAACCCATTTCAAGGAATAAACCCCAAACCCTAAACCCTAAACCCTTTAGACTACTGTTCATCTTTGGCTCAAGTTCTTTCTGCAAAGATCCGATGCAAAGCAGCATGTACATGCGCAACAGGCTCTGTATGGGGTTTAGGCTTCAGGGGTGTTTTGGAAGCTGAGATCTTGCGGGTAATTGGAGTTGGTTAGCAGCCATGGGGGTCACCAAGCAGGTCAGGAAGGCCGGCGACCCAACAAGTTAGGGTTTAGATTTTAGGGGTCTAGGCGGTTTAGGGGTTTAGGGTTTAGGGGTTTAGGGTGTAGGGGTTTAGGGGTGTAGGTTTTAGGGTTTGAGTTTAGAGCTCAATAGGGTTTAGGGCTTGTTCGGGTTTAGGAAGGTAAGACTACTTATGGGATCAGGGGATTTATAGTAAGGAAGACGTTTGGCGAACATATCTAATGGTAGGGACGCGGTGTGCTTTGAAATTACTGGGGTCAGCAGGAAACAAAGGAGTAGTCCCTATATAATCCCGTTGAAGTATATGCCCTTATTTCCCAAACCCCAGTAATTTACAATTAGTAGGACGGTCCTAAACCCTGAACTTCGCGGATTCAAGATTTTCGTCGCAGAACATCTTCTGGTCGACCCCTCAGGCTTAGTTAGGGTTGACAGGGGTACCTTCTAGGGATCATATAGGGGTTATACAAGGTAAATAGTGATTCAACCCTAAACCCTAAACCAATGATTCTATAGGATAAGAATTCTATAAGGGTGTATAGGGTTGCGGGATGGCCAATCTGAGTAAAAACTTCTTAAAAGGTCTGATAGCAGCCAGGGCGTAGGGTTTAGGGTTTAGTGTGACGGTTTAGGGTTTAGGGGTTGGGGTTTGAGGCTTTTTGTTTGAGGGGGCTGGTGGCTAAGCTCAAAGATTCTGAATATTGCTGTTCTTTGAAAGGCCAGGGGGACTAAGTAGAGCCATACCCATAATTATAAGCTCCAGTTACTCCCACCACTTACTAAGTCCGCATGACTCTACACCCCAAAGAATACAGTGATGAGTTGCCACTTTCCTTTCGTAAGGACTCTTACACGAAACATTCTGGGATAGGTGTGGCGGGCGTGTTTAATTAAGAGCAGTAGCAAGTAGCACGGGATTACTCATAAACGACGGAGATGGGGGCTGCCATGGATTAGGGCCCTGCCTCTTTGGGAGGAATACCGAAATGTGGGTGTTAGTGTCTTGGGGTGGCGCCCCTGATGATGGAAACTGCCATATCCTTAAAATCTAGACACAATATATCTCCATGCGCTCCCGAGGATTATAGATAGTATGCGGTATATTGGGGTCTCCTCTATTGATGGAAAAGTCTCTACATTCCCGGACTACTTTTCTGCCCCGCATACAACTCTTCAAAGCTCTGTGCCTAGGCAGGAAGGAGGCCTGCTCCCCTGGTTTAGGGTTTAGGGTTTAGGGTTTTCCCCTTAATAAGGATTATAATAGGGATCCTAATATTAAGGCCCTTGAAGGGGGGGGGGTTTATGAATCATGGGTTTACATTACTCCAACCAAACCCTAAACCCTGAATCCCTTCTGGTTAGCAAGTAATGACGGCATGGGATCAATGCAATAATATAATCGCTTCTATTTTCTTTTCTACTTCTGCATTCCTTGTTGAGCAGAGGGAAGGAGACTGTCCCGACCCAAAACACAAACAGCTCTTGAAGGGGAATGTGTGTGGACCGTCATGCTATCTCCGTGCCAAGAAGAAGGAGAGGAATTCGAGAGACTTGATTTCCGAAAGCGCTAGAAAGATTGCGGGGCCCTCCTGCTCACCTCCTCCTCCTCCTCCTACTTGTTCTGCTGCCCTAGACACTAAACCCTAAAGCCTAGCTGGCTTGCGCAAGTGGAGCTAAGAGTGCATAGGTGTACAAATCTGGGGTCCCTCCTGGGGTAATATGCAACGCCGTGATGTGCTTTTGCACGGCCATCTTGGCAGGATGCTGTGGGTAGTGAACCCTTTGCCGAGCCGGGCAGACAAAAAAGTCCGAAGGGTTGTAAAAAAAAAAACCGTAGAAAAGCTGAAGCATCATGGGTGAGGGGTGGCCGTATCAGGCTGGAGATGGCAAGACCTTCCCCAAGCAGGGCGACAAGTTGAGGATACATGGCGGCTTTACCAGGTTTAGGATTTAGGGTTTAGGGTGCAGAGTTCTAAGATTTGGGGTTTAGGATTTAGGGCTCAGGGTTGATGGTCTACTTTTATGTGAAGGAGCTCATACAAGGAACCCTATTTTGCACTGTATGACCTAACCTTCGGTAGTTGAGTATAGTATAGGCTCTAATAATCTCTTCCTTGGTGAGGACCCGTGTGCATTGCTTATAGGGGAAACATTGACTGTAGTTCTCACATACCCATATTATGGTAGCTTCGTGTTGGTTCCCGCAACCCAGTGCGAAGCCCCGAGATGCAGGAAATGAGAATTAATTGTTGCCCTAGGTAGGAGAATGCTCGAGCTATACCCCAGTGTCAAATTACTAAATCATATTCCCCTATAGTCAAGTGCTGCGTAATTTCGGAATATACCTGCCTAGATTTTGCCTCTTCACTCTCACTGCTTGTCATCCGATGTTGCAAGGAACCCCTGCAACAGCACTTCTGTTGATAGTGATCTTGAATTCAAGCTTAGACTCTGGGGCGAATACGGTTGATATTAACAGTCCTACATGACCCTAAATGCCTGAGGCCTTGGCAATCATACGGGTTCTTGTATCAGCGGTAGTCTGTAACACCCCCCAAATCCTCCACACATAATCTCAACACATCAATCCCAGTGTTCAAGTAATTTTCCACGCTCTTGTTGATCCCCCACTACTGGAAAACCTATATTCCCTGAATATTGCATAGCTTCCGTTTCACGTTCCATGTTTGTTTCAGATTGGCTTTCCACCATTGCAGGGGTGATATCCTTCAAAAATGATATAGCTTATCGCCGCTGTAGAACTCCATATACCCTTAAAAATAATTTACACCCATTACACCCCTATAGAAATCACTTCTAACCCATATAGAACCCAATATAACCCAACAATGCCCCTAGTAATTTAGAACACCAAAACAAGCCTAGCAACTGCTACTTGGAGGTTCATTGTACTTATAACCTACTTAGTAATTGTAGTTATAACCAAATTATATCTAGGGTAACTGTGGTTATGGGATTTATAATTGGGTTATAACTACAGTTACTAAGTAGGTTATAAGTACAATGAACCTCCAAGTAGTGCAGCATGTTGTTCATCCCGAGGCTTTGTGTAATCCATGGATTCAAGGCCTGTCCCCCCGTTTACACTTCAGGGGTTTGGGGTTTAGGGCTTATAGTCCCACTTAAGTCACTTAAGTAGATAGAATATGGCGTATATGCGGATCTTACTTAAGCGGGACTATACACGTTTATCATTGAGGCTTTAGGGTTGGTCGGCACTTGTCGAATGTAACGTTTTTACAGGAATCGTCCTTTTGAGATGTACAGACCTTTACAAACTGTCTTTCATGTGATCCCAACACCAAGCAACCAAACCCCATCTGTCTACGCGCAAGAATGTGGCCGTCCAAATCGACTAGCAAACAAAACTTCGTACCAGTCGGCATACATAAAAGTTTCAGGGTCGAAAATGCCCCAGACCCTAAATCCTGAAACCTAGACCCTAAACAGTATTTGTATTCCATTGCAGTTGCCATTTACTTTGCCTCTCACACACACAGAGGCATCTTCTAGTTAAGTGTAGCCACCAGGATGCACTACGTTGGCCAGCTGGCCAGAACAGGAGAGGTTTTTGATTCCTCCCGCGGAAGCTGGGACTTGTTCGTTGAAGGGTTAGGGTTAAGGGGTTGTGTTGCAAAAGTAAGAGTTTAGGGTTTAGAGGAATGAGGGTCTGGGGGTTTCAAGGGTTTAGGTCCACGTTCTGGCGTTAGGATAAAATTTACTCATAGGACCGGCCATAAGGTTGCTGTAGTAGACATTCTGACGCTCGCTCAAGGACATTGTCAGTGTCGCGTGGGGTGCAAGAGGGTCTATAGTCTTGTGTTTCCATAGTTCAGGATAAGGCGTTTGGAGGGCACTCTGTGATTTCTAAGGCACCAATAATACCCCATAATCCCGATATAACCCCTACATAACCTCTATAATCCCTGTAGTTTCCATTTTCTTTTCCATTATCCCTATAGGGCTTACAAAGTGACGCCGAAGCTTCGAGTTTAGGATGCCTACGTTAAGCGTGAAGCCATCAAGAAACGCGACATTGGCCTGCACAGGTCC